GCAATTATTATTCATGGATTAACTATTCGAGTTTGTAATCCAATGGCATCTTTACAAGCACGTGATTTACTTCCATTGATTTCATGTGCTGTAACAATGATTCTTTTTATTTTTTATATTGGTCTAGCAATGACAGTTTATACGAAAACAACATATGATGATGAAAAACAATGTTTTTTAAGTTCAAAGGTGTTGATGTTTTTCGTTTATTTCTTTTTAATCTTCATGTTTTGTGTCAAAACAAGTGTGGTATATTTTTGTTATGTGCAACTTACTCATTTAGTTTCTCAACAATCATATCGACGATTGCTGATAATGCTTTTGAGTTCATTGTTGATTTCTATTACGTGGGTCACTTTCGCAGCTGGATTTAATTCTAATCCATCATTTCACATTACTCAACTATATCCATATAAATTGTGTTGGTTTACTGGTGATGTTATTTATTATTTTCTGACTATCCCTGTGGGTGTATTTCTTTTAATCAATATATTCATATTTATTCTTGTAGCTTATCATATACTAAATCATGTTCGAAATACTACATCATTAGATCAGTCATATGAAAGAATGAAACGATGTGTAATTATTTTGCTTTTATCGTGTGCAACTCAGGGTGTTGGTTGGCTTCTTGGTCCATTTCTGAGGTTTGTTAGTGAAGACACAGCAAATGTTTTAGGATGGTTTTTTAATATATTCAATGGACTTGAAGGTGTTTGGGCAATTATTTTATATATAATAATTCTATCAAAAGGTATAGATGAACGAAAACTTGTGGTAGGTGCTGGAGAAGTAATGAAACCAACAGAATCATTATGTCATAAATACGAAAAATGTAGTGGGGAAGATAATGAAAATGAAGATCATAGCAAAAAAGAAGCAACTGAAATTAATTATCAGAGTACTGGAAATAAGGCCTGATGCTCACTCAATGAACTTCATAATATCACAATGATGGATTTTCGTACTAGTGCTAATACTCTGGCGTTGTATTATTAAAACAATAACTATTAGTAGTTCCAGTTAACAATTTTCTTCTACTAACACTCATTGAATATAATTTCTAAATGATCTTACTAATACTTTATTGATAATATATATTAATATGGAAATTTCTCATTCTTTATCTTAATTATGATCAAACTGATAAAAATATTCCTAGAAAACGAATAGATATCTAGAAAGGTGTCTAAAAGTCAAAGATGCTTTTGAAAAATAGTACTATTTGTACAATATTAGAGTTTTGTAAGATGTTCGAAAGTTCCTTAAATGTTACGTTTGACTAATAAAATATACTAAAGAAAAAAAAATTAACAATAAAAAGAATTAATGACATAAAAAAGGAGAGAAAACAGAAGAGATGAGAGAGACAAATAGTATAAGAAAGAAAACGTAGCCGGTTTCACATTGATAACAATTCAACGAAGCGAAAATAGAAATAATGATTGATGTTTTACTTGCATATATTTTTCTCATTTCATTCGAAAGAAATGTTCAAACTGATGACTTTTCCTCTTATGATATGAATGGTAATAAAATATATCATTACAAAACAAGTGCGCTACGTAAGTTTAATTTTCTGATTCGTTCATATCACCCCGAAGGAGTTTTGAAGGGTACCTTCTCGGTGAATAAAAATAGTATATTCGTAATCAGCATGGTTAATCTTTTAGAACTTTTATATTGACTGTCACTAGGCTAAGTATTTCTGTGAATTTCAATTATTTTTATTTCTTTTTCTTTCGATTTAATTTCGAACAGTGCATTCATGATAATGTTGCGGTATTAACATAATTATTAAGTTCCTAAATATAAAACAAATCAAAATTTCATTATGTAAAAAGGTTAGATCGACTTGTTTAAGGTATAAATAGATTAATCTTTTTTTCGAATTAATTATTTCCACATCGCGTCGATTTATCCGCAAGGTGATTGTAATAAAAATTCTGTCAGAAAATAATTATTATTTATTCTGAAATATAAAGTCAATCGATTTCAATCATTTGAAACAGTAGTAAAAGCTTTTGCCACTGTTACATATATATATATATTAATATTTCTTTCGCATAGCACATGGTGGTTCTATACGCTTCTTTTATTTCTGAATAAAGGTTGCCGTTAAAATACACAAACTGTTCATCACATAAAAATATTTCAAACTTAAATTTTATATATTATCATCTTATAGAAAAGTATTGACCATAAAAATAAAATATTTTTGTTGATTCAACTTCGAACGAGTTGGTGTTAGATGGAGGAAATACTTTAACACTATCATTTTATTTCAAATTTGTCTTTTCAACATAATTCTTTTGTTTATCAAGAATATGTAGTTCAATATGTTCATGTTTTCTTGGGCGCATTTAAAAGAATAATTAAAGTATCTGTGTTTCATTCTACATTACTTAGTTCATTTATTTTCTTGTTGCTCGTCTGCATGATATATGAACAAGTTCGAATTCATGTGTACCATGTGGCATGTACAGACATAAGATGAAGGCATCAAAGAAAAGACAAAACTATCATCGAGCGATGAAAAAAACTTGTATTTATTGAAAAAACAATCTAATTTTTCGTAAAAAGTTATTTCCTGTCCATGCAGTGCATTTTTTGTCGGATATTTAATATAGTACATGTTTCTCCATAACAAATCTTATTTGTCGATTTTTTATTGACTGATTTGAAAAATGAAATTTTTCAAGGAATAAGAAGTATTTCTTTTATGAGAATGTTATTCAACTTTAGATAAGTCTTTTAATTTATTCAAAATATCTAACCCATTAATAAACGTGGAATTTTATTTGTCTGATGCCAATCGAAAGAAGAATTTCATCATTCAAAACAACAAGCAAAACTAAAGACTTATACTTAGAACGATGTGTTTCATACTATTCAGAAATACTTTTATACAACAAATTTGTCATGAAAAATAAAGTTTTTTTACATATTCTTTTCGTGTATAGTTAGCTCTTCAATTCAATATCCTTTTTTTTTGCCTTTTTCAATGTTGTGACACATGCACATGCAAAGATAAAATTATTTGAATTGAACGATGTCATAATTCTAAATCTTGTTTAGACAAGCTAAAACCACATACAAATATATTGAGCACCATATATTCAATACGATGAAGAAACTTAAAGAGAAAGTTACAAGCTTGAAAGATCAAATATCTTTAGCAGTATTCATTCTTCAGAATAAAGATAATAAACAATTCCTTGAGTCATGCGTAAAATAAAACTAAACAAAAAAAAATCTTTGCTCCAACATAACTGAAGATTGTAGAATCATCTTTCGTATGAGACGAGGAATGTTCTAATTTAAAACACAATGTTCTCATGATTCATATATTTGAATTCGTTGAGACGGCGCATGGTTAATTTATAACCAAGTTTTACAGACCTGAAATTTTCCAAGCTGACTCGATTGCTGCGTGTTATTTTGAATATTGAAAATTTCAAGAAAGGCATATTCGTTTTTATTTGATCATTTTAGAACTATTAAACTTAATTACAAAAAAAATTCTACATCAAAACTATTTGTTTAGAATTTTTCAAAATAATTTGCTCAGTGGAATATTATCCAAAAAATCTCATGACTATTTATCAGTAGATCATGTATTTATATACATACGCCCAAAAAATATTCTGGAAGGCAATAATTTTGGAAAATCCGTTACTAGATGTATTGATTGTCAAGGTTCCCATGGCGTTGATATCTCAAAAGAATTTGTCATTTTTTTTTATTGCTAATATGCCAATAGAACATCACAGTAACGATAAGCATAGTGTATGAATTATAACACTAGCATATGAAAATTGATAAAATGGTATCTTATGACAATTTGTTGACGAAATTGAATTAGGCTACTACACGATAAAAGCATTTGTTAGTCGATGAAAGTCCTATTAATATAAATACCATTTAAACAGAAATCATCAATAATGGATTCCTACTCATCAATTATGACGAGACAATCCAAAAGATACGAAATATACCGATAATTATGACTGAGCATACATATGTTCAATGATTTCCTGAAACAATTAAGAATCGTTGACGTTCTGCTGCTGCTATGAGATAATAATAGATCTATGACATGAAGTCATGTGATATTTATTTCGTATATGTGTATTTCGATTTATAATTATTTACTAGCAACATTTGTACAATTATCATATGGAGAATATTTCCACCTTGAACAATTGCACGTGAAGGAAAACGTGGTCTTCATGGTCATCGACCATTCAAATGGACACCTGCAATCATTTTACCAATCAAAATTGTTGGTAACTAGAGATGTGCAACTATAATGACTAAAACAATTCGAATATGATCTAGTTGCTTGAAAATAACAAAAAACGCTCTTTTGGGATGGAAACGATATTGAAACTTGCAAGAAGTTTGTCAAATCGGATTAGACGGATGCATTGAACTTTAGATATGGTTGTCGGTGTGCATGTTGATTCGACACACACCTTGTCACACTTACACCCACTCTTTGTTCTAAATGAACAACCAACTAAGATGGATAATTAGTCTAGTGATTGGCTACATTCAGAAACACCCATGGTATGCTGAATATCTTTTACTTGCTGTATATTTTATCAGTTTTACGAAGCTGAAGTATAGATGAGTTCCAGATTTCATTTTCAAAGTGGCTAGACTAACAAGTTTTTTTTTAAAGTTTTTCTTACTGGGTTTTAAAGACAAAAAAGAAATTCGTTCATTTGCTGATAGAGTGTCCGAAAATTGCTTATCGAATAGAACCCGCAGTACAAAACTGATCTGTATGTCGAAACTTCAATAAATTTTGTCGACTAAGACCTAATGTAATTTTTCTTGATAAAGTGCCTGTTTAGAAATTTCATCTTCTAATGATTTTTTCCAAAAAAAACTTGAGTCTTTTAGAATATTATGTGTTTGATATTGAGGTAGTATAACAGCCTTATGAACAAGTAGAAGTATGGCATAGCGGATAAAACTTCTTCAGAAGAGGGTAGATTTTGCGACAAGAAAAAAATGGTATACTCCTGTCAAGCACTGAGAAGCTAGAATCTCTACAATATGAAAGTTTCTTGGTTTTTCCGAGGATCTGGTAGTCCTACATTAAAATAAAATAGTTAATAAAATTTTTTCAATTGATGAATGTAAAATTAAAAAATTACAAGGACATTTGAATATAGTATGAAAACGATCGTTAATCAATGATCGATCACCATCGGTTTCCTTTTTGTTTAGAAAAAAAGAACATGAAAAAACTTTACAAAAAACTAGATCCACACAATGGCAGTCTTATTTTCATCAAACTTGTTACAAATTCGGTGTAAGCGTGCCAAGTTTTTGAGGCATTCATGAATTGTAGAATAACTTTTGGTACTACGTAAACCAATAAACCAATGTTCAATTACCAAAGTTGATAGAGTCATCGCATGTTGATTAGAAATTAAAGTAAATATGGCATTGTATCAACATGAAAACCGATTTGCTTCATAGAAAGAAACGAGAAATATAACTTATCAACTTCATTTAATGTTAAGCTTTTCCCCGGAAATCTAGCAGATCACTTTCGATATTCTTGCTAATTTTTTTTTCTATTAATTTTCATTCAACAGTTGTCAAGCAATAATCTGAGAGGTTTAATTGGAATAGTAGCAGAACTTAAATGAAACATAGTAAGTATAAATTGCACAAATGTATTTTCATCCAATACTGAAGTACATTTATTGATAATAAATTAATTAATTAATGACAGATCCACACATATGGCAAAATATCACGATTTAACATGTGAAATTTTTTCCATAATCTATAACAATCAGTCCTTGAATATTAATAAATCGATTTCGAAGTTCATTGATTATTGGTCGTGTATAATCAACAATTAACTTATTTACAGTCGTAGGCAATGGAACGAATAGACTGGAAAGGCTTGAGCCTCACCTAAAATACTGCTATAAGGTTGACTCACATTCGAACCTGACGTTGTTTGGTGAGGTGAAACTTATTTCAGTGCAGACCATTGAAACTTTTTACATGTTTATCTATCTATTGAGATGACGAAAATTGAAAAATTGAGATGGTAATAAATTTCATTATTAATGCTGTCACAGTTTTTAGCAGCATCTTTTATTTTATTTACACACAGTAGTATGTATAATAAATCAATCATAAAATGTTGTACTTCAAATGCAAAACATTCGTCTCCGAGCGTCTGTCCTTTCTTTCGTGATCCTATCATTCGCTACATTTTATTCAGTAAAAATATAGCCCTAATAATTAAAACTATGACAAAGATAATAAATAGATTTAGTCCTAAAAAAATTTATCTCTACAATCATCTACATTTCTCTCTCTTATTTTATGAACCTATTTCACATAATGAATCTACTCGAATCGTAGTCGATTACAATAGCATTCATCTAGAGATCTGCGGAACAGTACCGAATCCCGAAAAATCTCATTTGTCCTGTCCCGTGAGACAAACGTGATTCGGAACTATTCATAAACAACTGATAGCCCGAATTTTTTAAATTCACATATCAGAATGTGTTGTAAGTTTGAGACTTCTTATTTCTAACAAATAGTTAAATAAATAACATAACAGAAAAGCCTATTGTCAGATGCCTTTAAATGTGTTCTTTATCATTTATTTTTATCAGTTGTTTCACTGCTACTATAATTTAAACGTATCGTCTCGTTTAATTAGCGTATTCTGCGCAGCAATCAGTGTGAGCATGAGAACAAGAGAGTACTTAAACTGAAGTTTTATCCCAAATGAATCTCTTTTTTATTACACTTCGACTACAGACAAGTCAATTTTCATGAATGTTCCAATATTTCATTTGATAAGCAGCAAACTATTCATTTCATCTGCATCCAGACGTGTTCCTCGGCCGGTATTGTGCTGCCAATCATATAAGTTAAAAGATATTTAGTTCGTCTAGTGATCATCTATATGACTTCAAGTGTCGGTGGTATAGAAAAGATGTATTCTCCTCTGACAGAACGATATTTTTGTACTCCTTTCGGTCAATGGGACTAATGGGGTTTTACGAGACAATCCGGATAAAATTCAGGACGGAACACTTTGAAAAATCATGAGACAGGACAGACGGAATTCTGGACTATTCAAGAACTTTCGGGGCAGGACAAATGGAATTCGCAGCAAAAAAAAATTGTCCCGCAGATCTCCATATTTTACGTTATAATCATCAACTGTCATCGAAACTATCTGTTCGATTGGTTCGTAAATATTTTACAAAACAAACCAAACGATCAGATATTCTCATCTTCATTCTTCACATTGACTGGCTGATAGGTATTTAATACGACTAAATAGATTGAGAAATACACGTTGAGTATTTATAAACCAAACGCGACTTAATCGTTAGTTGCTACCGCATATTTATAACAAACAATTTTATCAAATTGATTCAGCTCCAATACTTTCAACGTTTGCATCGTCGAGAATGAGAAATGATAAGCTTTTTTTCCGAATTGATAGTCTAATTTGAGTATGAAATGTATTATTCTTATAGATTTTGGAACTTTTGTTGCTTTCTAAAGATTAAAACGTTCTTCTATTAAAGAGCACTAAAATAGCACAGTAACTCTCATGATCACAACAAAACTAAATAGTCTGAAATAGTTTAACATTTGAACTTTGTTCAGCTATATGTCAACGTAATATGTAGGTTTGCTTATTATAACAAAAAGACATCCATTGAGCCTCATCTGATTTTGAAACGTTCTGCCACCCCTGATATAGACACGAATATTTTTTATTGAAAGTATGTATCCTGAGTTTTTTTTGTTAAAAAACTATTGAAAAAATTAGCTTCTTTTAATTTATTGTATCTAGAGCAAAATAAATAAAGTTATTCGCTTGAAAACACTTCCCTCACATATGTTCAGAAAAGCGAGAAACTTGGATCGCTAAGATCCTATGTCCCTGCCAATGAACATTCCATATCTCCTTAAGAAAAAAAGTTTTTCTTTTTTTACTATAAATAATTTTTATTGAAATTCCAAAACTTCTATTTTTATGGTCAGTTGTTTCAATTTCTGACGATAAGCCGTTTAGGTTTTTAAGGGTTAACGTATGAATTATTTCGTTGCTTTATAGATTAGTATCTTACATTAAAGATTAAAATATCTATAAAAAAAAAAAAGGATCTTTTTAGTGATATTTCACATGATGGCACTTAGTAAAAGAATTTAGATATCAAATTCGATAAAAAAAACACTTCTCGTAGAAAGAGATTGATAATTATGACATAGAATCTAGAAAAGCATATGGGTTACTATAAATGTGATATTCGGAATCAGCACAATGAACTGCATATAGTCATGTATTTTTCGAGAAAAAGGTGAGTTATTACGTAGAAGAATTCCGTCGTTAGCCACATATTAATGTCGATGTAATAGTAATGTTTCGTAAATCCAGGACGAAGAATTTAGCAGTTTGATCCACTTTAGATTCGATAGATTTCCATGGAACAATGTTGAATGTACATTTGGATACTAGACATTGTTTCACTTCCTTCTACTGCCTTCTTAAACTTGTTATTTGTTGAGTTGTATATCTCCTATTCGCATTGTCAGCAGTCGTTTAGGAGACTGAATATTTTACCTGGTTAAGTGAAAAACAACTTCGTGTCGTCATAAAAAATATTAAAAATATATTTCCTATGTTTTCTAATAGGCATACAAAGGAGAAGTAGATACTTTAATACCATCGGATTTAGTGAGATTCGGCAAGTTCCCACTTTCAGATACGCCAGGAATCCTATCAGAACTGACGGGCTAACTTCCATCTGATGAACTTCAAAAGGACTATAGAATAGTACGTAATTCAAGGTGGATGACTGCTTTTGTAACATTATAGGAGAGGAAATTTATCATGGGTACCCTTATGCTGTATACACGAGTGAACAATGTCATCTAAAGAAAAAAATATCATATCAAATTCCTATATAACATTCGATAACGGAAATAACGAGCTTTAATTTGATATATAACTCAAATTTAAAGTGTTAATAGTAGACGAGAAATTTTTCAAATGAATCTGACAATATCACGACGCTATCGAAGACAAATAATATCAAGTTTTAAGTCAAGCGCTCAAGTCAGAATGAAGGCTAACTGATTAATTTCAATAGAAATTCATTCCTGATATCCAAAGTGACTATTTAAAAAATATGAAACTTAATTTCGAGACGAGGTTGATTTCATCACGTAATGGTCTCCCCCTTCGCCTTGAGTTAATTACGATAGACAAAAATAATGGGTGCCATAATTATTCGATGATTAATGCAACTTGACAATTTTTTACCTGATCTTGACTTAATGATTATAATATATCATCCATATGAAGGATTCTTTATGTTAGTGATAATCATGTATTTAACAGAACTTTTCTTGTAATTAACATTGTTTTAATATTTATTTTCTTTTTAGATACTTGATGATGGATTTGAGCTTTTGAAAAAATATAAAATAGGGTTTACAATATTTATTGTGTTTTGAATAAGAATCAAATTACTTCAAATATTCAAAATATGTAGTCAAAGAAAAAGAACAATATATCGATTCCTAATATAACTATGCTTGTAATTTACACTTATAAATACAGTTTGTCCTTCGACCACAGTAACTATTCTGATAAATTCAGCGTAAATTTTTTCTTTCATCTAGTAGTGGCTTTTATTATTTAACTATAAGATTTAACAATGTTAATCGATATCTAAAATAACCTTGACAATCGTTTTCTTAAGAATAATAAGCTATAGAAGTTTTCTATAAGATATTAATAGACGCAAAGATAAAATGTCTTATGATGAATTTAAAATAATTCAAAGAAAATTTATCTATCTTTACAACGAAATTAAATCTATTTAAAACAAAACACACTGAAAACAGCTTGTGTTCGTGTGAGTAAATAATGAAAAGAAAAAAAACATGACGGTGTGATTATTTTTTACTTTTTATTATTAATATCATGCAAAACAATATTTTATTTTCATGCATGATTTTATTCATTCGATTCTTTTAAGAGTTCTCGTCTATCAAAGAATTAAATATTTTGCGTCCTTCAAGTAAATATATTTTATTTAAAGCTGAGATATTTGACCTAAGTTTTTGCGTCTACCAAAGCTTGTGTTGTGATTTTGTTATTTGATAAAAAAAATATATTTTCTTCGGCATGAATGAAGAGAACTTAATATGAAACGTCTGGAATATCAGCAATATTATAACTGATTGGTTTTTCTTGTCGATCATGCCACCTAAACGATTATATTGCATTACCTTTTCACAGTTTGGTTATCGTGAGACTCGATTTTTATTCATATAGAAATTTTTCTCTGTTAAGTAATTGAAGATTTTTATTTTAACATAATGTACAACTTTAGTATACAAGAATTCATATTTATATATTTAATAATTATAATTAATTATAATAAAATTATAGTACAATCAAATGTAGAATTTATCAATGACAATGATACAAATATATTATTTAACTTCAACGATGAATTGATATTACAGCAAGATTTACGAATTGAGGGTAGCACGTCGGGTATGATTATTCGACAGTTTATATTTGTTTTTTATTAAAAATTGAAATTAATATTCTAGATCAATTAGCAATTTATTCAACAGAAGAGGTTACAAAAGTAACATTACAAAATACGATGCAATCAACAATAAATTCAAGTTTGCCAACAGTTTCTGACGGTAACAGAGCAACATCGATTCGACTGATTATTAATAATCGTTTTGATTTATGTAGATTCTTCAATGGTTACTGATATCACGATTTTGACATCAGGTGCTCCCGATGGGCCTGCATCTATGTCGCAACACGATACATCTTCACATATTTTTACTTCAGGTAAACAATAGTTTTCATTTTCTAATGATGTTTATTGATAAGAAAAAAAATGAATTTTTATTTATTTACTGAAGAGATTACTCAAGCCAAGAGTTTTGATTTATATTCTTCTGATATTTAAATAACTTTCTGTTTTCTATCATAAAGTATTCAAAACAATCGAACAATATTTTGAACATACTTTTTTTATGCACTTATGATCCGAATTTTTATTTATTAACAAGAAACAAAATTCTCATTTCAGAATTTATGTTGAAAAATAACATAGACCAAGAGAAAAATGAGGAGAAATAGAAACCAAACATTCAGAAAAGTCTTTTGATACTTTTGCTTCATGAAGTATTCTCATTTATACAGCTACGACAACACAAACAAGCATGAGACCAACTTTCGAAACAACTACCATATTGAGTTCAAATATATTCCAGACATCTACTCAATCTCCATATAGTAAGATTACTGATAAGTTTATCATTTAAATTATTTTCTTATGAAAGGCTCTTCCACAATTCAAACTTCAACAATTGTCTTCACAGCGCAGAGTATCACATCTGCAACTACAACCGAAACCTTTTCTACAACACCATGTATACCCATAACTGAAGCTTTTCTTACAACTGCATGTATGCCAATAGTTGAAGCTTCAACAGTTGTTTATACTACGGAGGATACTACATCTGAAACGACAACTGCATGCATACCTATAACGGAAGCTCTTCTTACAACTGCATGTATACCAATAGCTGAAGCTTCAACAGCTGCTCTCATTATGAAGACTAGTATATTTGCAATTCCAACTGAAATTTTTGTCACAAGTCAGTCTACAACTGAAACAACAACTACACTTACATCTATGACTGCATCGATTGAAATTGAGTCCGCCGCGGCAAGCGGATATACTGTTTTACTTGAATCTACTGCTACAACTGAATCTACAACTACAACTTCAACTACAACCACAACTCTATCTGTAGATCAGTCTACTGCTGCAGCTGAATCTACAGCTTCAACTATAACAACACCAATCTCTGAATCTACAGCTTCAATTACAACAACACCGACCACTGAATCTACACCTTCAATTACAATGGCACCAATCACTGAATCTACAGCTTCAATTACAACAACACCGACCACTGAATTTACAGATTCAACTACAATGACATCAACCATTCAATCTACAGCTTCAACTATAGCAACACCAATCTCTGAATCTACAGCTTCAATTACAACAACACAGACCACTGAATTTACAGATTCAATTACAGCAACACCGACCACTGAATCTACACCTTCAATTACAACAACACTAATCACTGAATCTACAGCTTCAATTACAACAACACCGACCACTGAGTTTACGGCTTCAATTACAACAACACCGCCCATTGAATTTACAGATCCTACTACAACAACACCAATCACTGAATCTACAGCTTCAACTACAACAACATCAACTATTGTATCTACAGCTTCAATTACAACAACACCGACCACTGAATCTACAGCTTCAATTACAACGACACCGACCACTGAATTTACAGCTTCAATTACGACGACGCCAATCACTGAATCTACACCTTCAATTACAACAACACCGACCACTGAATCTACAGTTTCAATTACAATGGCATCAATCACTGAATCTACAGCTTCAACTACAACAACATCAACTATTGTATCTACAGCTTCAATTATAACAACAGCGACCACTGAATTTACAACTTCAACTACAACAGGTAGAGCTGCAATAACATACGATCATAACATAACAAGTGTGAAACTGATTGACTGACTTATGAGGGAGAGGCACTAACTGATCAATCACTTTTGAGTTGAGACTATGTGCGTTATGCTAGTATAAATGAGTTGGGAATGCCGTGAAAAAAGCTCGGGTCGCTAGCTCATTAGTAGTATGATACTGCAATTTCACGATGAGCTTTTAAATGAGTGCCGTGGTCCCCCTCAGGAACATCAAAAAACATGATTTTCGAATTTTTATATGAAACTTTACACAGAAACAGATCTTACTTAGTGTAGTGTTTTATGAAAGTCCCGGGCCTTTTTGATGTTCCTATCCCTAGTTATAACTATGATAATTATATTCGGATACACCAGAAAGATTTGATGTTCTCGTTTCAGAATAGGAATGAATCAAAACATCTGAAACCTTCATAAAATACTATGCTCAGTAAGATCTGTTTCTGTGTAAAGTTTCAGGTGAAAATTCAAAAATCATTTTTTCTGATGTTTCTGAGGGTGACCACGGCACTCATTCAAAAGCTCACCCTAAAATGTCAGTATCTCCCTACAATAAGCTAGAGGTTCGAACTTTTTTCACGGCATTTATAGCTCAGTTATACTAACATAGCGCACATAGTCTCAACTTTAAAGCGATTGGTCAGTTAGTGCCCCTTCCTGGTTAGTTTTATTATGACGACAACATTTTCTTACAACTGCAGTGATCGCAAAAAGTTGGGCGATCAGATGAAAACTATTAAGATCTCAATGATTTGAGCTCCAATGTTTACTATAAATAAAATTCAGTCAATTCCGATCACAAGGACTTTCAAGAACCAGCTTGGCTCTAATGTAAAAGAGCTACAAATTGAACATGTGCTATCTCTTAGAGAAGAGCTATTTGGGTACAGGCAGCAAATCTTACAGTTGCAACCTCTCGTTGGAGATAGCAACACGGTTCTTCTTTTCCATAAAATTTTCTCGCTGAACGACTTTTGACTTTTTGGGGTATGAAGTACTCTTCAACAATCATCAATATATACCTTCAAGTTGCCCATGACATATGTATTTGAAATTCTCACCATAAAATGGATACCGGTAGAAAAGTTCCTCCAGAAATTTTCACAACTTTGACTGCTAATAAACTAGAGATTGACGTTGAAATTGTTCATAATGACGTAGAATTTCGTTACATCTAGAATAAACAACGAATTGAAAAGCTTTTTTGTAACGAGTAGACATCTATAAGAACTTTATGTCCATGAATGAGTAATAGCAAAAACACTTAACATTTTTGTCGAAACAATAGAAATATATCTCTATGCTACCGAACACTGTTTGCCAAGAAATGTAACTAGACGCTATCTCCTAAGTTTCTTTTCAGTGTAAGATCTTCGATGTAGCTTATTCCGTCAATTATATCATCACTTCTGACAAAGACTTATTTTTTTCACGTACCAAGAATTCAAATTATGCCTTAATATTCGGTAAAGTTTGAATGCAAGTGTGAGTAGGTAACATACATATGTGAATGTGAATGAAAGGAAAATGCTCACGTTCAAACCCGCTCGTCCGCTATACGCATTCCTCACATCCGATGAACACATGTTGTTTTCTTTATAAATGAAAATTGAACAGTGTACTTCTTCTCGTGATTGATTTACAGAGATTTGAATCTTAAAAAGGTTTTAAATGTATACATCAATTGCATTTTTGTTGACACTGTTTGAAAATATGTCAGAGACATTGCACTTATCGTCGGTGTTTTAATTAAAATAAATCATGCTGAAAAGTCTTCTTCATCATAACATCAGAAAACGACCTTTAAGAATATAACATAGAAGTTAGATATGAGTCTGTTTATATTTTTATGTATTCGTCAAATTTAGTCGATTAAGTTTGCCCTTCGATTATAGGTGTCTTTACATAGTAGAAATGACATCAGAAATGTTATTGAAGATTACAGAGAAGTAGTGCGATTTTAATAGAGTTTTACACTATATTAGTGAGCGAGCGAAACAAACGACTCACAAGTGAACTACCTGAACTGATACTCCTCTCTTGGGCACATATTGACACCACCGGGAGGTCTCAATAAGATTACAAAAATCCTAAAAGGGTTTATGCCCATGGGTCTCTAGAGTCGAGTTACGGCCGTTTTAGAATTTCAGGTTCCACTTTAAATATTTACCAAAAAGAGTGTAGGTGTGGTTGTGACTCATCTCTCCATAAACGTCTCCATTCACCCCCATGCGGATACTCACACCCATACCAATAGTGATAACTAGTTCTGGTTGTTAAACAGAGATGTCAACTAATGCCTCCCAGTAAGCACAAGAATTTCAACATCTGTATCTCACTCTTTTACTTCAGCGACTACAACAACAACCGCTACTACAACCACCACAAGCACTACCACTACTCAAGATCCAAGCACTTGTAGAAATGGAACTCATATATTGGACAATGGTAATTGTGTAACAATAGATCAAGCCATAGTATGATACGAAGTACCTACATTTTGTATAATTACCTATTTTTTGTTTAGATAACTGCAGTTAATACATTGCGCAATAATATCACAAACTCAACTGTAGTTGCTG